TCTGAAGAACATAATTATGATTATATTTAGAACAGTGATTTCTTCCTTATAATAAAAAAAAAAATATTTGTGTGGAATTTTACCTTAAATCCGAAAAAATTTACCAAATTATTGGAGATAAACTGCCCTCCATAAAAGGGTTTAGGTTATAATTACTCTTATGCCGAAAATAAAGGATCGATCCATAAATAAAATATATAGGGCAGCACTTCGAAATTGACTTTAACTTTACATCATTTCTAAAGCGACCCGTATAGGGTCGCATATAGAAATTAACCTCAAATTTCATGTGCTTGTTATAAGATGTGTACGCACATACAGCGGTGGAAAAACAATAGAAACGACATTTTGTGGTAAAAACTAACATTTCTATAAAACTACGCTAGAATGATGATTGATGATTAGTAGAGTCCGACCAAACTCAAAATTTCGTTCGGTACCGAACCCGAACTTTGTTCAGTTTTCAAAGTTCGGTGAACACGAACGTTTTTTAAATGAAAAATAATACTTTTTTATTTTTGGTTTTTAAACGATTTATTGACAATGATATAATTATCTGTTAGACATAGATGGGCACTTTGCAGTACCAGTAAAATCGCTGTAAAAATAAGTTTTTACTGTTTACTGAAAAAATTTTCAGTATTCAGTAAAGTTTTACTGATTACTGAAAAAAAATTCAGTATTCAGTAAGTTTTTACTGGTTACTGAAAATATTTTCAGTATTCAGTAAATTTTACTGATTACTGCAAAAAATTGCAATAAATTTACTGGTTACTGCAAAAAAAAATGCAGTATTTTACTGATTACTGAAAATGTGTTTACAGTATTCCGTACACTCTAATAATTTACTGAAAATTCTATTTTCAACATATTTTTGAATATCACAAGTAGCTATAGTGCGATAAATTTTACTTTTTGGGATTGTAAATCTTTTCAGAAGACAAGAACTTAGCTATGTACAAATTTATATAATAGCCTAAATGTTATATTATTTTGTCGGCCAATAAAAAGTTGTTGGATGCATTTATTATATTTTATAATATTAGATTATTAATAGAAAAGAGAGTAAAAGAGATCAATATGATAATAGTTGTATGAAAATTTTAGTTAAATATAATATTTGTTTAATAATAATGCATTTTGGTTGAAAATTTTACTGATTACTGAAAAAAATTTCAGTATTCAGTAAGATTTGCATTACCAGTATTTTTTACTGTTTACTGAATTTTTTTCAGTATTCAGTAAAATTTTATTGAATACTGTAATTTTTTTCAGTAATCAATAAAAATTTACTGAATACTGAAAATTTTTCAGTAACCAGTAAAGATATACTGAATACTGAAATTTTTTTCAGTAACCAGTAAAAATTTACTGATTACTGAAATGTGTAATGCAGTAAAATTATACTGCAGTGTGCAGTGACTTTTAGTTTTTTATTTACATTTTTTAGATGATGTTGTATATTTGTTTTTATTTTACCGCCTTAAATTCAAAATTTTGGTCAATTTGTCGGATAATGTGGATAGATTACGTTTACAAATATTGCTGAAGTTATGAATGTAAAACTGAAATATTTTGCCAAAATATTTTGGTATTGAAAATTCGAAATATCGGTCAACAATTTCACCTAGCCCCCATATTATGCCCTATTCAGAAAATTACTATATTGCTTAAAAAAGCATGTATAGCGATGACATTCAATATAAAAAAGTTTTATTGGAAATGTATTTGTCAAAGTTTATGAGGATCGGTACATAATTGACTCTATCCTTCATAAAAAGTCTCCTCAGAAAATGACTTTAAAGCTCATAATGTACTGCAATATAGCAACAAAATTCAACATAATCAAGTTTTAAAGGAACTAAAATATCTCTGTCAGATTTTATGAGAATTGGTCCATAATTGACCATACGTCTCATATAAGATCCCGTACAGAAAATTACATTAACGCTCATAACTGTCTTCATAATACCAGTTTAGCGACGAAATTTAACATAGTTACTAGTTCCACTTCAGAAAATTAATTTGTTATTTTAATATCCAAATGTAAACATGAAACAAATAAAAATTATTTTGTTTACTTTTTTCTTAATTTGGTTATTTTTTATTCGAATTTTGGTTAGAAAAAAATTTTGTTGTGGCAACACTGATTGCAATGACATTTTCAAATCTTAATACCTATTTTTAACTCCAATAAAGATAATGTCGCTTTTTATACCCTCCACCACCATCAGTGTTGATTACCATATCATTTTCCGTTGATATACATATATAGCCAAAAACGAGAAATCGGCTAAAAACAATTGGTGTAGCTTTTCCATATTCTTTAAAGTATGATTATGTAAAATATATATATATATTTGTTTCAAAAAACAAAATATTTCCCGTTTTTGTTATATCACAACTTTTCAGAAGGCTTTTGTATCTGTGATCACTATGCTGTAATAATTTTTTCAAAATTCCAACTCCTTCCTCTGCGTATCTGAGGCGGAAACCACTGATTTTGAGCAACATTTTTTACAGAGCAGAAACTACAGAATTTGTAGGAAATCATGCTCTAATAATTGATTTTATAGGAAAAATCAATAAGAATGAGCTTAATTTCACACTTTTATAACGCTTCAAAAGTGCATTTAGTGTTATCCGAAGATGCACTTTTTTCAAAAAATATTTCAAACATTGTTTTTCTTTGTGCATAATCAAAGTATGCTTTTTGCTGAGACAAATGGTGCAAAAACAAAAATTTTATCATTAACCCTTTAGATGTGATGAGACTTTAAATTCTCAGATTTTAAACTTTACAACGCTATATTTCGAAAACCACGAAAGTTACAAGACCCAAAATTTGTCATTATACAAGTCATATATGGAACATTAATTGGGTGGAGTTTTATTAAATTCGGAGATGATGATGAAAAACACCATCGTTTGATGGGAAATTATTAAACCACAAGCTAACATTATAACCATCATAACTCCTAAACGGATTACAATAAATTAAAAATTTTAACACTATTTTTTTAAGGGCATTGAATATTATATTTACGAATGATAAAATCAGGTTTTGAATTTTTTTTTTTAATTGCATTTTTTTCCTTTTGCTCTTATGCATTTATAGTGCATCTAAATTCTGTCAAATTAAGTTTATATATCTTAAATTTTCCTGTAGAATAGTATACTTAAGTCGGATTTGAAATATATTCAGCAGTTTTCGGTCTATCAAAAAATGTTGGTATGATATCACAATTTCAAAAATATTGCGTGAAGCCTAATATAGTTATGATTGTTTTCCAAAATTACTTTGTTAATTTTTTTTTTTGTATATCTCGAGAAATGTATATTTTTCATTTGAATTTTTGTCCGATCACTTAGCACATCTTTAGATATGTTGTTTTTCCACTTCATTAAATATTAAAAATGGTATTTTATGTTGTTATTAAAACAAAAGTTATTTTAAGAAAGTTCTGTGCTCTAAAATTTAATACGAGTTTTAGAACAGAGTTATAACAAACCGAACATATCTATCAGGTCTGTTATACATTCCGATCGGAATGGTTGGAAACCATCCTTCTTTAACAAAAATATTAAATTACTGAAGATATTAATATACAGAATGATAATGCTTTTTTCCCACACTTATCATAAAATATTTTCAAAATACTACCTTCATGGTAGTATTTTTGAGATTCAAGACTACGTGTGGTTAAATCTTGAAATAAATATTACAAAATCAAACAAAAAATAAATCTCGATACATCCCGCATATTTCAGGTTATAAGTCGACTAGTGCGTTTTTCATTGAAAGAATGGCACATTAATTTGACCCCTCTACGTGTATCTAGATTATTCCATTTATTTCTAGCCTTTTGAAGAAAAGGATACTACTTTTGATAAAACGTAGTTGCTACTGAATCGGCATTGGAGATATACAGAGGAGATCCCTTTCCAGCTTTCTCGTCTGCCTGTTCATTTTCATAGTAGTTCCCATGAGCAGGGACCCAAACTAGGTGGTAGTGTAAGACTTTTATCGAATAAAATTCCTAAATATTGTGAACTACACTCTTTAAATTAATTGTTTCTTTACAATAATTACAATCCATTGCGGAACATTGCCGTTTTTAACATAGTATAGCGTTCATATTCGGTACTTAACGGCTATTTCCTAAAATTTATATCTTAAAATGCGATATTAATAATATTTGTACTAGTATCCATTAATTAAAACAAGTTTTTTGGTTCCAATCATCCATTACACACTTCTAAATACTACCAATAATCGTCAAATGGTGACCATGTCAATAACTTACACTACATATCGGTTCTGAAATTGGTTATTGTCCAAAATAGTAAGATTTTTATATTAAATCAGGCACAATTAGTGGTATGAATACGAATTGAACAATTTTGAACACGGATACATCTTAATTTTTTGCTAGAACAAATTAAATGTCCGATACATAAAACATGGTTATTGCCTCGAGTATATCAGGATATGATTGGTAGCATTATTGTATACTTTGGAAATCGGAGGATTTGAAAAACCTGATTAAATTAAAGGAAATATATAGAATTATCCAATTTTTCAAGTTTATGTAGTAAGTATTAAGAAATCGGAATTAAATTTCGGATTATAGGAACGTACTGTGTTCAAAATGGCCAAATCCAAGCATATCACATTGATTTCAAAACAACAACTCTTTTCAAGAGTTAAAAATTCTATTTCTAATGCATCATTTGGAAGGTTCAATGGCCAACATATCCAAAATCCGGGGTCTAAAGTGTAAAAAAATTTCGTAGAAATCAGAAAAATTGTTCTACTAATTATTTCTGGAGTCAATCAGCCCAAATTTCAAGATTTTGGAACTAAAAGTAGATTTTTTCCAAGTTATTGTGTAAAAAATATTTTATTAAAAAGTAATTATATTAATACAAGTAAAATTTTCATAAATTTTGTTAATATCATTAAACCAAATATATACTGAAATGATCTGTATACTTACTTTTGTGACGTAAATTTTGCACCTTTTTAACTTTAGCTTAAAATGAGAACTCAAAGAACCAAAATATGAAGAAAAAAAGTAGTGAATAATAATTATCATAATTGTTTTTAGTAAATAAATGTGTTACTTTCTTGTTTTTTGAAAAAATAATATGTTTTTTTAAATACAACCAATCGTTAGTATTTCTGTATACTTATTTTTGTGATTAACTGTACATGTGAATTTTTTCACTTAATTATCCTTTAAGCGCCTTGGCGACACATCAAATTGTTTGACTCAAACGGTAAGTTTTTTGATTGTGTTAGTAAAAAAACTCACATCGCATATATACATGTGAATTTTTTCACTAACACAATCAAAAAACTTACCGTTTGAGTCAAACAAATTTGATGTGTGGCCGTGTCGCTTTAAGGATATTTACGTTTTTTTTTCTGGTAAATATTTCAGAACCCATGTAGGTGCTACTGATTATCTTTATCTTTAAACAAGTAAGAAAGTATAGTCGGGCGTGGCCGACCATATGATACCCTACACCAGTTATGAATATTAAATGTGATTTATTTTTCATAATAAAGCATTTATCTTCAATATTCCCTTGTTCCAAAACATTTAAGCAATTTATGGATGAAAAACTAATTTTCTGAAAGAGGCTTTATATGGGGGCTAGGGGCAAATATGGACCAAGCCCGGTAAAATTTTTTCAATATATTTATATTTACATAATATTTTATTGTGCTGAATTTCATCGCGATATTTGTGTTTATAAGTTAATTTGGGACATTCAAGTAATTTTCTGAAGGGGACTTTGTATGGGAGCTAGAGTCAAATGGGGCTCGATCTTTATGAAATTTGGCAGGGTCATCAAGACTTCAATAAAAATTAGTTGTGCCGTATTTTATCGATATATCTGTATATTTAGCATAATTATGAGCTCAGAAGCCCTTTTCGGGGGGTTCTGTTCTATGGGGGCTAGGACCGATTTTAACCATTTTCAATAGGCTTCGTCCTTGGGCCAAATCAAACGTGCGTGCCAAATTTCATCCAATTATCTTGAAAATTGCGACCTATACCTTGCGCACAAGGTTTACATGGACAGCCAGCCAGACGGACGGACGGACGGGCATAGCTTAATCGACTCAGAAAACGATTCTAAGCCGATTGGTATACTTTAAGTCTAGGACGAATATTTTTGTATGTTACAAACATCAGCACAAATCCAATATACCCTCCCCACTAAAGTGGTGTAGGGTATAAATATAAAAAAAGTTTTAAATTATTTAGTTATTTGTATTTGTACCTATAGTTAATCACAAATATAAGTATACAGAAATACTGACAATTGGTTTTATTTAAAAAGGGATATTAATTTCTCAAAAAACAAAAAAGTAACACTATTATTTATTAAAAACAATTATGATAATTATTATTCACTACTTTTTTTCTGATTTTGGTTATTTGAGTTCTTATTTAAGGTGAAATTAAATAGGAGCAAAATTTACGTCACAAAAGTAAGTACACAGATTATTTCAATATGTATTTGGTTTAATGATATTAACAAAATTCATGAAATTTATTCTTGCTTGATTATAATTATTTTATATATAAAAATAATTATAATCAAAAAATAATTATAATCAAAAAATAATTATAATCAAAGCAAAAAAAGTGTGGAAAAGATGTAGAATTTTCATCACAAATAATTATAATCGAAGCAAAAAAAGTGTGGAAAAAGATGTAGAATTTTCATCACAACTAGTAACTCGAAGTGCATCAAATTCAGATGAAAAACCTATGAATTTTACATTAGCGTGTCATTGGAGGGATGTTGGTCATTTTTGACAACTTTGAACTACATCTAATCTTATCTTTAGAAGCTGTAAAAACCCGATATTTGTATGTCAAAAATAAACCACATTCTTTCAAGGAACGCTTAAGTAAATTTCATAGATTTTTCTTCAAAATTTGAAGTACTTCGAATATGATGTTTGTAGTGACTTTTCTACATCTCTTTCCTCATTTTTAACTGTGTTTTCATTTGTAAGGATATGTTTGGTTTATAAAAGCGAAAAGTATGCAATCGCATTTTTAGATGTGATTAAGATGTCGTTTGTAAAGTATGATATCAATTATTTTTTGCTGGATAATGAAATATTTTCACACAAAACCTTGGAAAAAAATCCAACTTCTGTTCCGAAATCTTAAAATTTGGGTCGATTGGCTCCGGAGATAATTAGTAGAACAGTTTTTCTCATTTTTACGAAAATTGTTTAAGACCCGGGATTTGGATCTGGTAGTTGTTGTTGTAACAGCTAAAACTATGCAATAATCAAGTTGGGGGTTCTACATCAATGTCCAGGCCTAAAAATTGGGCTACCTCAACTGGATGCGTCCATAAATCCATTGGACTGGACACTGGAGCAGCATAATTAACCACTGACCGACCAATCGTTTTATATTTAGCTTACAAGGTTTCTTAATCAGGATCAGGTATTCATAAGATCTTCTGAATGATGCATTAGAAGTGAAAATTTTAATTTTTGAAAAGAGTTATTATTTTGAAATCAATTCAATATGCTGGGATTTTGGCCATTTTGAACGCAGTACGTTCTTCCAATCCGAAATTTTACTTCGAATTGTCATATTATAGAAAATTGGGTTAATTGTGTATATTATCTTTAATTTTAACATGTTTTTTCTAGCAGCAAATTAATACGTATCCGTGTTCAAAATTGTTCAAATCGTTCATACTGCTAATTGAGCTTGATTTAATATAAAAAATGTATTTTTTTGGACAATAACCCTTTTCTGAACCGATATGTAGAGTAAGTTATTGACATGGTCACCATTTGACGATTATTGGTAGTATTGAGAAGTGTGTAATGGATGATTGTAATAAAAAAAACTTGTTTTAATTAATAGATACTTGAAAAAATATTTTTAATTTCGCATTTTAAGAAATGAATTTCAGGAAATCGTAATTAAATATCGATAATGAACGCTATAACTTGTTAAAAATGGCAATGGTCCGAAATGGATTGCATTTATTGTTAAGTTATAATTACTTTAAAAGTTAAAATATCTTCTTATAATGCATCATAATGAACAAAAAAGAGATCCAAAACTCAGGCGTTTTTAATAGCAAACTGCCTTTGAATAAGAAAAAAACCTCCTATAAGTAATATTCGGGTCAATTACCAAAAATTTCAAGTTTTTGGAACAAAAAGTGGATTTTTTAAAGTTATTGCCTAAAAATTTTTTATTTTTTATTATTTTTATTAAACCAAATATACATTGGAATGATCTGCATACTTACTTTGTGACGTAAATTTTGAACCTATTTAACATCACCTTAAATGAGAACTTAAATAAATTAAATAATATTTATTACAATTGTTTTTAATAAATTGTGTTACTTTTTTGTTTTTTAATAATATACCTTTTTAAATAAAATCTGTATACTTATTTTTGTGATTAACACTGAAAATAATCCATGCCTAACTTTACGAAAAAAATTTCGTAACTACTTTTCTCGTAATATGTGTATAAGAAAATTGCATCAACCACTTTTCTAATATTATGAAAGTACGAAAACCTGTCGTAATATCTTTTTTCGTATATATTAAGAAACTTTGTTTTATTTTACAAAAAATAATTCGTAAAGGCACTTTTGTTAACAAAAGTAACGATTTTTTTCGTAACCAAATTAAAACCAAAATAAAATTTTATTTTGTTACGATTTTTTTTTTTTTTAATTTTCATAATTTTAAGCGAGTTAAATTAAACATAATTTTAAAGGTGCTATTAGACGACATGTATTTTACATATGTACTGTCAAAATTTCCATCTGTAAATCGTCTGATACATATGAAACATTGCATGTGTAAAATACACGTGGAAATACAGCTGTGGTTGGAAACGCTCTCTTAATATTACTGCTTGATGTGATTTTTATAAAATTATGGATATATTACGTTATATTTTCAGTTCCAAACACTTGTATTTTATACATTGATGTTGTTATATTAACATGGAATGAATTTCGTTGTGGAACATTTCTTATTTCCTTTTCAATTTTGAATTTGGTGAAAATGGCCCAAAGATAAATCTAAGAAATTGCGACATCTAATTGGAAACTGTCATTTTTTACAAAAATTTTTTTAAGTCAAATCTAATTTTGATTAAAACTGTAATTTTATTTTGGTAAATATTATTTTTAATTTAATGTATAAGAAATTTTACGTCATTATTTTTAAGACTAATAATGGGAATAGTCCAAAAATATACTCCTGCCCAGGGTAGATCCATTTTTGAACTTCATAAAGCTTGTAAATCGTAAAAGGATATGGGAGAACAGCTCAATTCTTCCAAAAAAAATATTTTTAATCGTTTATAGCATATTAAGAAATATGACACTGATACTAACGCTCCATGTCGAAAATTTTCCAGAAAAACATCAGCACACCTCAAACCGGATGATAAGACGAATCTCTAAAGCTGACCCAAAGAAATCATCCACGGGCATCTAGCGGTAAATTTTAGAAAAATTGGATATAAAAATTGGATATTGGATAAGCCTAAGAATGTTTGGTGGAATCGGGGCATCATGGAAGAGAATCACGAAATAAATCTTTATTAACTAAAGTTCAAAGAATTAGCCATATCTCATTCGAACTTCTACCACACCTTTTACCATTTATTGCACCTTGTATATTGAGGTTTAATGCGATTAATCTCTGTTTCAAAACTCCAAGGTAAATAATTCCACTGATTAACCGTCTAATTCTGATAAGATCAGGTAAATTCAACGCGATGTTTCATTTACAAGAGATATTGCAAATTCTTTAAATTTTAGTTGGAAAAGGTTTCTTGCGCGATTCTTTCCCAAGATGCCTCGATTTCACCAAACATCGCGAAATAGTTGGCTTAGATAACATTATATCCAATTTTTCTGAAATTTACCGCTGGATGCCCGTGGATGATTTCTTTGTGTCAGGTTTAGAGATTCGTCTTATCATCCGGTTTGAGGTGGGCTGTTG